TTCATATAAAGCAGTGGATAAAAACATACGTATATGCAAAAGGCAAATTTGTCTATTTACAAGTAATTTTTAACAAAAAACAAGTAATTTTTAGCAAAAAAAAACGCCACTTCAATTCTCATAAAAAAAAAAAATATATATATATATATATCTCCTGATCCACTGACCGGATCTTAACCAGATTAGTACCACCTCTGAGACACTACCTTTCCGATGCAAAAAGAATTATCGAAATCGGTTGACGTGGTCCAAAGTTATACGGTAACATACATAAAAAAAAAATAAAAAATATTCCGACGAACTGATAACCCCCTCCTTTTTTGGAAGTCGGTTAAAAAAAACACCACTATTATTTCCTGCAAACACACATCGAATTACATCTTTTATCTCGCTTTCGACACAGAATTGTTTTCGTACAAAATTACGCAAAATTTCGTAAGTTCGAAAATACGACTTGGACTGCAGCATACTATTTGTACCATTGGTAGCAAAATCCGAATACGAAAGAGTTGCAGTGAATATTTGTTGCGAAACTTATTTTTAAAATCGAGAAACCATCTAGAAATGCGATTTTGGTAGAATATCTATTCACAACCGACTTTTGTTCCGCAATTTTTCTTTTTAGTTAGTAAGAGAAGAAAGTCTCCTTTTGAAGTTACTGCAAATGCGCATTCAACCAAATTTTTTCTAACAAGCTAGTACAGTGTGTGAAGAAGGTTGTAACCCGATCATGCATTTCAAATAATAGCTTTTGCACTTTGCTGCACATTCGCATTTTATTAAATGTTCAAAAACATCAATAACGTTGTCTTAGCTTAAGTAATGTTGAAGTTATCAGCGTTTTCGAAAATGGACTATATACATTTTTGAGTAGTGCCGGAAACTCTCCTTAGTCAATTTTAAAATTCATACCCAGACTAATTTAAAGCATAAAGGATTTTATAATAAAAGCATTTTCAGGCGTCGGCAAGGTGTCCCGAAAGTGTCCTAAACCCCCAATTTTTTCGTATTCAGAATTTCTAATTTGCTCCATATTACCCACAGTGTTCGTTGCCTTTGCTTGAGCCATGCGGCGTTTAAATCCTGGCATTAATAGGTTCTTTCCCGTGCAACCCGGACCGGATCCGGAAATTAGAGAACAAGTGAAACTTTCGCTCTCAAAAATGGGAAAATGTCCAGAACTACGGTAATGCAAAAAAAACACATTTCGCAGCCATAATTTGAGAAACAGCTTATTCACGTGGTTTTTGTTGTTGTCACTTATATGCAAAAACTCGGAAATTGAATTTTGGTTTCACAAATTTGATTGTAAATAGAATTTTAAGATTGTAAATAGAATTTTAAGATTGAAAATACATCAACAGGCTATTTACTATTATTTTAAAACACCAAATAAATGCAGGCACCATACAAACACAAAGCAGCTGATATGCACTTTGACACTTTATCCATTTTTACCCGGAGAAAAAGTCCGTGCTGTTGCGGACAGGAAGAATAAGATACTTACGATCCAATACGGGAATGATTTGCGGGCTGTTTTGGGATCTCGCGGGATCCCAAGTTGAGTACGGGAAAGAACCTAATATGTTTGCAAAACGAACACCTATTCCAAAACCTGCTGCGTTTTGGCGATCGGCAAACGGTTTCGAAAATCGCATTTTTTTTAATTCTCACGGTTGTTGAAATCACATGCCCTAAATCGAATGAAACGGGAACAAATCTACTCTGAGCTATTCGCAAAGAATGAGAGCGAGAACAAAACTTGTTCATAGGGTTGCATTAGTTTGAAATGTTTGAATATTAAAATTAATTTAACAATAACAGAAAGATAAAAATGCAAAGTCAACGAAAGACTTAAGACACGAACTTTTATTACACAGAAAATGAAAATTTGTTCCATAAATAGACAGTTCAACCTAATGATAAACGATCTAGAAATTGAAATGATCCAGCTTTCCACTGGCTTAGAATAAACAATCATGGTTCTCACTGAAACGATTTTTCCTACCAACCGCAGTTAAGTACTCAACATTTTTTTCCTCTTTTTGTTCTCTAGCAGAACGTTCCGCAGACTTTTGTACTTATTTGATTTTCTTGAAAAATTGCTCGCTACTTTCGTTAGCACTGAAACGTTCCCGAAAGTTTCGTTATCATTCAGTTCGTTTTTGTTCGCATTTTGTTTTTTACGTAAACGTTCCCGAACCATTTGTTCTCATTTTGTTCCGTTCTTGGCATAACATTTTGTGCTCGTGCAGAACTAAACCAAAGCGTAATTCCGTCCCTGGTCGTATGTCGTAAAATGTTTAACAGCTCAAAATATTTTATGCATTGTGGCATATCAGTAACAATGTTAACAGCTCAGAAAATCTCTTGGCAAACATTTTCTTTTGCATTTTACTAAATTAAAACAGTGGCACATTGTCCATAAGCAATAGTAACTTCAGAGAGGAATGCCATTTTTACATCGGCTTACAAGAGAAAAGATGTTGCAATAGAACGGATTTACGGAGATTTACCTTAGAAGGATAGTTTTTTTGTTGTTGCTGGGACTAGAAATTGAACGATTCGCCTCCACAGTGGCAGTAGACACATCATAGCACTCGGCTACGGCGGCAAGAGCAATTCTCAAAAACGAAAAAAGTCAGGAAAACAAAACCAACGTTTTTGAGGTCCGATTTGTATAGGGGGTATGCGTGAAAATAAACCGATTATGCAAATTTTTTGTGTGTTATATGTAGGCAATTTGGATTTTAACTCTAATGTGCAAGTGTTATTCCCATCCAGAAGAGACCCCGAGAAGCGATCTCTCTATATACCGACGGATCCAAGATAGATTGCGGTGTGGGAGCGAGGTTCTAATCCGAAAAGCTCCTTGTTGCTCTGTCTCTGCGATTGGGAAATGATACAAGCATCTACCAAACGGTAGTTCTATGAATCCTAGAATTCTGTAAAATTCTAGAGAATATAATCGGGTACAAGTCAAGTAACAATATATTCTGACAGCCAGGTACCGCTATTGTTAATAGCCTCACCGGTTACCAAATCCAAGCTAGTTAGGGAATGCAAAGTAATGCTGTGGTCAGTGTCTCAGTCAACTACCGGCTCTCTAGTCTGGCTTCCTGGCCATAGGAACATAGCAGGCAAAGAGAAGGCGGACGAGCTGGTGAAGGCAGGAGCCGGTTTGGATGAATAAGAAGCGGTGAAACTAGTCCAAAGAGAGATTACTTCGCATTTCCTTGACGCAGGTGGTCAGTTATACAGACTTGTAAGATATCGAGAGAACTATGGCCGGACTACAAGAGGACGAAGACCTTCGACCTGCTTAACTGATTAAGGCCAGAGGTATTCAGGATTGTAGTAACCATCACGTGGCACTGAGCCATAGCGGAAAAAATAGGTCTACCATATAAAAGAATTTGCCGCCGCTGTTAATTAGAAGATAGCGAAACATAAAACATTAGCAAAACACCTGGTAGCACAACTAACCGACCTACATATGAGGAGCTACCATAAGCGAAATCGGCAGATTCATTAGAGAATCGAAATGGTTCGACTTAGAGACATAGGATGTACATAAAATATCTCCCGCGAGAAGTGCACAGAAATGGCGCAAAAACGCACTAATTCTGTCGTAGTCAGCGACAAGGAAGCACTGGAACCAACGAACCAACGCAGCTGTTATATTCAAGATTTAACTCTTCAATACCCGAGAGATAATTCTTCGTCTACACTATCCGTCTTTGGAATAGCCTTCTATCGGCATTGCGACTTATTACAAAAACCGTCATTTTAAATACGAGCTCTAAAATTTGAAATATAGCCAATGGCTGTTGCGTGAAATTCTTATTAAATAAAATTAAATTAAATAAAAGGGAGAGACCACGGAACCCTTTCCAATATACTTAGATATCGATATATCGAAATTTTTTAACCATATTTGCAGAAGTCTTGCATTTTATGACCATCTTAGAAAATTCTACAGTAAGTGAGCAAAATTTGGAACTGATCGGTCAAGCACGTAAATTTTATTAGCAAATGCCTGGCGATTGCTTGAAAAAGATTGCATGAGGAATATTTTTTACAATAGATATTCTCTACTTAAAAATTAACCTTTGTAAAAAATTCAGAGCTCATATAAAGGATAGTTTTAGATATAAAGGACAATAAGCACTCTTTATTTAATGAAAATGTATTAAAGACAGAGGGATAAAATAAAAGGCTGCCTTTAAAAAAATAAAGAACGCATGGTCACCGTAGCCCTATTATGCGCTTTTAACTATTGAATAATATTTTAATGTTGCTTCGAGTTAAAAACTTTTACAACTTGAAATTGCGCACAGCACCCATTTCTTAGAACGACAATTGGCTAAAATATCGCTTCTGGACAACAATTTGCCAAACCCTCTGAATATTTTCCACACTTCCACCGACACATACACACACATACACACACATACAAAACATGGAGAGCCAGTGGATATGCATTTCCAATTGCAAGAAAATGTGTCGCTCCGCACGCTGCCACAAACCAGGAAAACTTTTACATAAACTGCAACTGAATGCAATGCAACAATCCATATACATATATATGTATGTACATACATACATATATGTATATGTATAAACAAACACACGTGCCTACAAAAGTAGATATGTAGGTACAGCATTGATACAAACGTACAAAGTGAATAAACTGTAAGAACTTCGAGTTTTCCGTCGCCAATACAGCGCATGCGTGCGAACGTAGTATGCCAGGCACGCAGCGGCTGTCAACCAACAGCGTCGGCAAATGAACCACACAACACCACAACAGCTGAGAGGTTGGTAAATTGTGCATGCAGACCAAAACAAAACCGAAGAACACTTAGTCGAAGAAAGGTAAGTAAGCTGGAATTTTGTGCGCGCCGAAGCAGGTAAATTGAAATATTTATCGAAAAAAATTTAATACTTAGTGAACATTTTTTACTATAAATTAGTATTAGAGCCTCTTAAACATTTACCATTTATGTTGTTTTTATGTGTTGCGACGACGAAAATCCACGCCAATTGCTTAAATTTGTGGTTTGTGGGAGCTAATATTTTTGGTTTTTTGTTTTGCTTAGCTTTTTTCTCAATCGTATTTGTTGCACGATATTTGCATTGCATACTCGCATATGAACTTGTATGTATTTATGTACACCAGTTGGCACGCTGCTCAACAACGCTGCAACACTGCTAGACGACTTACACTTCAAGCAGACACAATTCCTTTCCACAAAATTTTTTTAACTTTCAAAAAATTGCTAATTTTGCAATTGATTTTATCTAATTTTTTCCCCTTTTTTTATAAGCATTACTTTTTATTTGTGTAAGTTGTGAGTGGCAAAGCGAAATGCAATACGCGTATAACGTTCACACATTTTGTTTTTGTTTACACTTTGTTGCACTTTGAGCTGAATTTTGTGCACCTTTTTGTGGCACGACAATCGCCATACGATTGTTAATAATATTATCAGAAAAGCCGGCACGTTTCTAAAGCCAAATCTTTGAGAAGCTTTTCGTATTAAAAAATCTAGAATTACTGCGCGATTTTTAGTTTTCTTTACACTTCAAATTTAATGCTTATACTTCACTTTCAAAAACTTGCAACAAATCATTTCATAATTAATTCTTCTATATACTGAGCAAATCCACGAACGCGTCTCAGATCACATAAAATCTCACCAATCCGACACAATTCGAAATGTCCGCGCAACGTTGCTGCACAAATTCGCGGTCGCTACAAAACTGGAGAGGCAGGTAAACGTTCGCAGTGCATATCAGCCAAAATGAAGCTGATATGATTTGGCCAACTGGATGTTGTTTGGTGCTGCGAAGAGCCAGAGCCAACAGAGAGCAATAACAAATCGATGATCAGAGACGTTGTTTACTCACTCCCACTCTCTATCTTTGGCTCTCTCGCAAGCGCTCACGACTGGATCCAACTTGTAAACGCCAACTGTAGACTACGAAGTAGCCAAGCATTACCAAAAAAAAAAAAAAAAAAAATAAATGCAGACATTTTTGAACGCAACAACAACAACACTGCCGCACTAAGCGCAGCAAACAAAACGTTCAACTGCAGCTCGCCAACAAAAATGTCCACACTAAAACTGTTGGAAAAGCTGTCCAGCAAGAACATTTACAATTTACAAACGGCCGCGCACAACAACCAACCAACTGCCAATGCACTGTGCAACAGTAGAACAAGAACAGCAACAACAACAACAAAACTTGCAACAAGAACATACCATTTGAAGATAGTGGACTCTCACCTAATGTGGCAACTTGTTTTGGGCCACATCTCAACGCTCATTAGTGCTGAGCGCGTAACTAAATATATAATAGCCAAAAGAGTGTAGTTAGAAGAAAACGAATAAGAATCTTGGAAGTAAAAAGCACAAGAGCACTTCAGAGCGAGCGCAAGCAAAAAATTTAGTTAGTAGGAAAACAGCAAAGAAATTCAAAGAGCGGGATAGAGAGAGAAAGAGAGAACCGAGCAGCATAAAGTTGCAAACAAGCAAGATCGCTTGCCACCGCCGCATAGTGGGATATGCCTATACATTTTTTTGAAAAAAATTTAAAGTTGCGAGTAGGACTTAAATTTTTTCATGCGCAAGGTTGATGGACATAAATCAAGTAAAATACGAAAAATCGGCTTGTTCGATTTATTTTAAAGCAAACCTTTCATACAAACCTAACCTCGAAGAAGCCCTGCAAACGCTCATTAAAAAAAAGTTTGCAGATAATTGCAGATTAGATATTAATCCTAACTAAATAGTATGGAAATAATTAGTACTAGTATACAAAGCGCGTTGACGAAGAAAAGCTATAGTCAATTGAATTTATTAATCGAAAAAAAATATAAAATTCTTTAAATTATAAATTCAAATCCATTTATCGGACGGACAATCAGAGCTCTGTCACTTTAAACAAATATATTTGTTTTAGTTTTTTTTTCATATATGTATGTACATTAGGGTGGTCCAAAAAGTTTGAAATGTTAAGCTCTCAAATAATATTTATAACTGCATCAAAGCGCATGCAGTTTTCTATGCATTTGATATGGGGAAAAACATTTCTTCTGAGAAATGGTATAGAATTCTTGAAAATCGATATTTCCTATTGAAAAACTCTGTTTCTCTTCGGGAGACTTCCAATAATAATACCCAATTATTTACTCTACCATTTTTTAATACTAACGATTTTGTATGGGCCCCTCATTGCATTTTTTTTTTGGGTTTTTGGGGGACATATAAGAAATAGTCAATACTCAAAATGTATAAATAAATGATTGGGTATTGTTATTTAAAGTCTCCTGAAGGGAGCAGACTTTTGCGTTCGAAAAATAACGATTTTCAAGAATTATATACCATTTCTCCGAAAAAATGTTGTTTTCTCCATATAAACTACAAGAAGAACTTCATGGGCTTTGAGGCATTTCTAAATATTATTTTTTTTTTTACAAAAAAAGGTATTATTTTTTTCTAATTAGAAAAATTGTAGGGGGTGAGAGTTTAACATTTTAAACTTTTTATGCCCGCATGTATTTTTGGACCACCCCAATGTAGTTTCTTTTTTAAACCTGAAATTTCATTTGTTGCCAAAATCTTGTAAAACCGGACCACCAAAAGGGTATAGTATAAGTAACAAATCTAGTAATTTATATTTGACCATCAAAAATAAAATTTTTTCCGCCCATGGCCCATTGTGCGCTGCGTTCTTGTGGCAAACAGGACTTGCTATGCCTGCAACTGGAGAGCAGATATGCTACCTACCCATCCGTGTACCTGTTAAGCGATAACTAATAAAACATACAGGTAAAACCAGAAATTTTCACTTGTTTCCCTCAAACTCACTTTTCATTTGCGCTCTCGCTTACTCAATTAGCTGCCGTTTGTTTTAACTGAGTATGTGTGCTCTCAGCCCGCCGTTCGCTCTCGTACGCAATTAATGTGTTCTGAGCGTTAGAACATAAAATTTTTATGGTGTCATTTTTTATCAATCGAATGGTGTAATATTAATGTGATAAAATCAATACTTGAAAAGTCGTTCTTCTTTGTTTTTATTGAGCATAATGAGCGGTTGGTGCTGGGGAAAAGTGTGTTGAACGCGCTGTGCTGTTGATTAAAACGAGTTTCTTATCCTAAATCGTTGCATCTAATTTAGAAAATTGCACATACAGATGTTGTAACACTGGTAAAATACTTGTGATGATTTAATCAAGAAATGCAGTAGGTGGAGAATTATTTAACTGCTAAGATGACACTTTCAAAATGGTCTTTGAGTTGTGCTCATAAAAGGAAAGTTGGTAAATTTCAGAGTTTTCGGAAAACATGTTTGGAATAGTGGCAAAGAACAAAATGGGATCTAAAGTCTAAGGAACTTTCTGTCGAAGAACCATTTTGGGAATTAAAGCTTCAGGAAATTTCTGACAGAGACCGAAACGGGAACAAATCTTCTCTGAACTATTCGCGAAGTATGGAAGCCCCAACAAAATTTTTCTCATAGCGTTCCATTAGTTTGAAATGTTTCAATATTAAAAATTTATCAAAAACGAACTGAAAGATAATTATGGAAACTAAGTCAACGAAAGACTTAAGATACGAACTTTTCTTGTACAGAAAATGAAAAATTGTTCATAGTCTTATGAATTTGGGCGGAGACTAGCATGTCACTACAAGACTTCAGTAACAGAACTAGAACTTTGGTCTTATTAAAGTTCATTTTCAAGCCGTTAGCTTTAGCTTCACTGTGTAGCGCGTTGCCCATTTTAGACAGATTAGAAAGATGATGCGCCAAATGTTGCAGTGAACTGGACATAGACCGACGAAGAACGCAGTGCGGCGTCATGGCAGCATCTAACACATCCCCTAACACTAAAAGAAAGAGAAGAGTTGAGAGTATCCAAACTTGGCGTACCCGGCTGTGATAGTTGAAGGTCTCTAAAATTGTTCCTTTATGAAATACACGACTCCTGCCTCCGTCGTTTGTAGATTTAATAACAGCTAAGATTTTTTCTGGCTCTGCTCTACGGCGCAGGGCTGCACAAAGACACTCTCTACGAATGCTATCAAAAGCATTAAAATTCTCATTTTGGTTATTAGCGTTTCCGATAGGGTACGAGTATAACGTATTTTGGCGCGATTTTTCGCCATTCCTTGGTTGTCTTCCAAACAGAAAAATAAATAAATAATAATAATAAATTGGATGTCAAGGATTTGTCCCGACTCGGCGCTGCGTGTTAAGGGTGCAAGAATAGTACTGGAGCACGTTTTCACCCATGTATGTAGCCATATGTAGCTGTTTGTCTTCAGTGGCAATTACACAGAATTTGCTCAGACAGACGGCATTCCATACCAATGGCCAGGTCAATTTAGTGCATGTGGCAGCGCAGATGGTTTTGACCGGTAAAGCACCCTGTGAGCAACCTGAGAACGCTCCTCTACTCGCTGCTCAGTTCTTACTGTGTTCTGAGTTCGCCCGTTTGGAGTTTGCTCAGTATAGAGTTGAAGAGTGTCAAAACACTCCTGGACAATACGGGCCATTTGATTCTCTGAAAATGTAACTAAGTATAAACTCGGAGCCGTTGCAAAGTTTATTATGGGATAGGTCGAGATTACTAAAGCCTAAGACTGAAACTAATAGAAAATCCATTTCCATAAGCATCAGCACCTGGTCTGTAATCCACTCTTCAGCTGTCTATGTGTCAATGTATATGCACCTCTGGAATCAAGATAAAGGGATCCATTTGAGCGGTCCTCTGGAACTGGGGTTTTGACCTGATTGATAATGCGATTAAAAAGCAATAAAGCCGCAGTGTTATATAGGCTACCGATTGAACTATTTAGCGGCAAGGAGCTGACGCGGAGTATGCATTGGCGTCTATGCATAATATGGCATGAGTATAAGCGTGCTCTCCCCAATCCACTAGAAGAAAAATCGCGCGATATGCGCTAACTACTTCCCACGTAATTAGTTTCCTCAATATCGTTACATCAACAAAATTGGTAATTTTCGAGGAGAATGCGTAGTGTGAAACCTAGAAAGAGTTTCCTGGATCAGCTGACCGATATAAAATCAGCTCTATTCACCATGGCCTCACAAAAACAAGATATTTTGAGACATCACATCTCAGAGAGCGCCCGACCGTTGCATCGGTTTGGCAAAGCAAACCCCGCGATTGCACCACAAATCAAAGCAGGCATCACTTAACCATTTATCGAAGCATAGGTGAACAACACGACAGACTCTACTCGCCATGCGAGGGTTGGAAATACAAGCAGGCCAAGTTGCTTCATTTCACCTGACTGGTTATGGAGGAAAGCGGTATCTGCGATATCTCGAGTTAAAAAGGACACTAGACGAGTCTCGAGACCTGGCTATTGAACGAATGGTGCCGAGACGGTGCGGAAAAAGAAATTGAGCGCAAATGTGTCGAACATACATGCAGGCGAATAGTAACCACATATGCTGAAGAGCGGAATAATGATAATTTATAACATCCGTGTCACAACAGCTCAGGACCCGTGCGGGCATCATTGGTCTCCAAGTTATACCGCGGCAGCAAAACGCGAAGAAGCGGAGAACACGGAGGAGCGGCTAAATTGCACTGCACGAACAATCAACCACCAAAACGCATCAGCAGCGATCATCCTCCTTGACACAGTTGGCCAGAGGTCAGGGCAGACATCTCGATCAAGTGCACCCAAAATGAGATTAGACAACTACTGTACCCCATATTATCATAGGCGAAGAGGCCTAAAA